ACTGCTCTGAATTTCTTCACTTTTTATAGCCAAAGGAAATGGACATAATTCACATCTGTTCATTTTTATTAATTGAGCACTCTTACTTAAATGGAATCAGCATTTATGCACCTCTCTTACTGTATACATTACAGTACAATTAATGACCCAGAGATCCAGTATTTTCCCATGTCTGGTTTTGTTTCACATTGAGCTTCCGTGCATACATATTACCTCCCTACACACTTAAAGGATCTATAACATTCTACGCTTTGATCTCTATGTAAGAAGCAATTTGCTGAGCTTCAGTGTCCTGAGGGAAAGACCTCAGGATTGCTGCCTGGGAATGTGAAAGTCTTTCCTGTGAATTTAGATGTCTGTTCAACGGGACTGCACCCCAAAAACCTCACACTTTCATTGTTTCACATGTTAACATCGCACTGACAAGTTTAACTGCATCCAAGACTGCATGAGGTAGTGTTTCATTTCCCAAATACCTTCAGATTTGAATGCCTCGGGCAAGAAAAACTGACAGCTTCGGAGCCATAAGTTGTAATATTTCAGGCAAGACATTGCCAAAATCAGAAGAGCCTTTGCCCATAGCTTTTACCATCACGTTTCCATTACCCTTTCTGCATTTCAGGAAGGCTTTAACATAGATTTAACATAGATGCTTAGGCAGTGCTTTGCTGTAGGTCTTCATTAAAGCATAATATTAAACTATTTTGAAAAATCACCACGAGCATCCCCCTCCTCTTTTAAAGGACTTTCTCAATGCCTAAAGATTCAAGTACTCTCTTAACCAAGTACAGACTGAAATATTTCACTATGGATTTGAACAAGAGCCAAGAGGGTTGATGAAAGGAAAACTCCTCTATAAAAGGTTTATTGTCAGTGCTTTCTAAAGAGGTAGATTCTTCTAAAACAGGCTACCAACATTTTCACAAACATTGACGCAGCCTTCTCAACCTCTCCTAGACCTGAGTTTGAGGTCTTTTCTTTTAGGAATGCTCTGCATCTAGCCTTTGACCTTCTGGATAGCCAACTCCATCTAACTGCTCCCTCCTCCATCAGTATAACGTATATTATAAAAAGGAAAGGGGGGATGGGGTAGCTAGGTCCTCACGCTATTGGAAAAGTACTTGAAATTCCTTGCATTCCTTTGCATTTAACAGCATGTTTACCTAATCACTGGCTTATTAGGATTAACACAAGTCATTGCTTCAAGCTCATTCAGTGAAAACAAACTGATTCCTATAGACTCCCAAGATTTTTTTTCTCTGATCCCAACTAAGGGTGGATTTCTAAGTAGTTCACCTACACTTTTGGAGCAATATTGGGGAGATATAAGGTTATAAACAAGTGACCTTTCCTAACACATTATCCAACCATATTTAATCTTGCCCGTGGATTTAGATAGGGCAGCCTGGGTTATGGGCTGTTTTCATTAATGTTTCTCTCCTCCTCCACCAAGGTGACAAGCCCAATAACCTTGTGATTAAAATGATAAATGACTATACCCACCATACAGTGATGGAGACTCTCTGGCTTTGAATTCTTATGAAAATAAAGCATTATTATTTAAATCACAAATTTAGCTTCCAATTCCTTGTGCTCTCTACAATGTCTAGTGTTCAGTACATGTTTTAAAAACAGAGTACTTTAAATGCAAAGATTTTTCTCAACTGAGGATAAAAGCAGTCATTGTCTTATTTTTGTAGGTTAGTTCCCTGCTCTTATCCTAAGCTACTAGAACAGTTCCTGGCACAAAGTAGGCACTCAAGTAGTTCTGTTTGAATGACTGAAAGAATGCATAATAAGCTAGGCTGTTCCCAAAGACTACGGGCAGTCTCTAAAAATACCCAATGCCACACACGCAGGTATTAGGTAAATATTTCTTTATTAAATGATTAATTCCATAAATAAATTCTTTTCACTGAATATAAAATTAAAATCATTTACAAATTATTCCAGTATTACATTTCCCTTCCCTCCCCAAAAGCTACATTTTTGATAAATAAAAACATTCAGTCTTAAAACACCTGATTTCTGTTTGCCTTTAGAGTGCAGTTAGCTGCCTCTCACGGACACTCACAGAGTGTCACCTTCAGGAAGGGATGGAACCCCCTCCCATTTACTTCTGTCAAAAGATGAAGGCTTTAACTGATCAACTAATCTTTTTTTTTTTTTTAAACAATTGTAGAACTGAAAGAAAAAAAAAAGCCTAGAGAAAAATATGCTTACCAAATAATTTACAAACAGAAAACAGAACGTCATCAACAGCACAAGCTCCAAAATGAAGCAGTAACGTGTGCTCCAGTATTATGAAGCGAAGTATTCTCCAATTGTGGCTGCATCAGTGTCCATCTGCACCAGCACCAGTTTCCAAAAATACCTTAATACTACTCACGAATGAGCAATGCATCCCTTCTACAATGAGCCCCTCAGCCCTACCACCCCCACCCATAGCTCCGTGATTCTGGCACGCTTCTCCCCCCTCCCCGTTCCGGTCACCCTGGTGCTGGAAACCCGGGTAGCAATTAGTCCCTAAATTTGTGAATGTCGTTGAACAGCCTGTAGAAGGGAAAGGCCGCCTCGTTGGCATGCGGGCAGTTGTAGTTGCACTTGCAGGACTGGATCATCATGACGTTCTTGGAAAACGTCTCCCCGTCCTCGCAGCGGAAGCGCATCTTCACGGTGCGGGTCTGCTGGGGCGTGCAGCACCGGCCGTCCACGCACGAGCCGCAGTACTTGGGCCGGTACTTCTTCACGCTCGAACAGCCGGCGTAAGTAAACGTGACAGGTTCGAGGGATTTCTTGGTCTTGCTGCATTTCTTGCCCTTCTGGAAGAAAGAGGCAAGAAGGAAAGTTAGGAATGGGGTTTTCTCGTTCTTTCTTGGAAGACAGGCCCACCCCTCGCTCGCCCGGCTGCCCCCGAGCGGTCTGCCAGCACCCCCACAAGAGCTTACTTTCAGGCTGCTGTACATGGGCTGGCCACAAGGCCGCACTTCGCAAATCCGGGTCTCCTTCACCAGGCGGCACTCAAGGTTGTCATTGGTGACTCGTGTGGAGATGCCCGTGCCGCAGGTCTTCGAGCACTGGGACCATGAAGTGGTCTGGACAATGCATTTCTGGCCGTGTAAAGAAGGATTGTATAGGATTCGAGGTTCCGTTCCAAAAACTAGAGGCAGAGAAGAAGACATTTCTCAGAGGCATAGTGACCCCAACACGTTCAAGGACCCATTTCGATGAAGCTTCAAACTAGGAATGTGACATCTTTCGGGCTCGGTCTCAGCTTACCTGGGAGCCGCTTCAGGGAGCCACCTTTTCCGACGGCGATCAATTCATTGTTCCTGGTTAACTCCACCTCCGAGGCATCGAAGGCCAGCCCCTTGCCCAGGAGGCCATCCCTGTCGTCCATGGGGTCCTTGGCACCGTCCTCATCACAGACCCACTCCTCGCAGCACTGCCCGGTAACTTTGACCAGCCGGGGGCTGGGACAGCCCAAGTCGGGGAGAGAGAGTTCTTGGGGACACAGAGGAATGCAGCCCACAGCGCCGTCGATACATGTGCACTGATGTTTACAGTTGGGCTGGAAACTTTCCCCATTCTGGTAGATTCTGGAGTTGTATTCACAGGGTCGGCCCTCTGACTGAGCTGCAAAGAGCACCAAAAAGAGAAAGGGAAAAGAGGAGAAAGTTAAGATTCCCAACCGTGGCCTGAAACTCATACATATTTTCTGCTGTTAAATTCAATTTATGGTAAAGTTCCCTACAATTCCTCGGGGACTCCAGACCAGAACAATAAGTTAGTCAGGAATCACTTTTCCGTATGCGCTTTTCGTTGGGCCCAGACACACTGAATTGCATTCCAGACTGCTGAAATCATGTGCCTTTCTGCCAAGCTACCAACAACAAAGCATCACCATACATGGTCTCAAAATTACTAAACTTCTGGACTACAAGGACTATTATTTTTTTAAAGGGGCCAAACCACAAGCATCTTACCTCTGCAGATCCCCTTCAGAGCGGTGGAACTGGCACCGAAATTGCATTCCAGTCCCTTGGTGTGGTCGCAGGGCTGCATTTTGCTGCAGTCCTCGTTGAGCTGCTTGGCGCAGACTTTACAGCAGCCGCAGCCGTCCCGGACCAGCCCGACTCCTGGGGCGCACTTGGGCGCCTCCTGCGGGCAGTGGCAGGCGGCGGGGCAGCTGGAGAGCGCCTGGAGGGGGGTAAGAAGGCACGCGTGAGACTCGGCGAACGGCGCCGAGGAGCCCAGGGAAGGGAAGGGGGCGGAGGAGTTCCTGCCCCGGGTCTCTGATCCTGTCCAGCCTGGCCACTCCGGGCGGCTGCGTCTGCCAGGAGGCCCCCGACGCGTCTGCAGGGGGGCCTAAAGAAAGAGCTAATCCGAAACGCGTCCCCCCTCCCGACTTTTTAGTTTAGTTTTCCTGGCCAGGGGCAATCTGGGGAAAGGGGAAGGGCCTGGGAGAACGCATGGGGAAGCGGAGGCAAAACAACTCACCAGCCTGGCCAAGTGGAGAAGGGTGACGGCGAAGGCGAGCGTCCTGGCCGTGCGGGAGCTCATTGTGGCGCGCAGAAGGAGTCCGGGCGAGCGCGGAAGCAAAGACGCCAACACTGGTGCGCAGCGGCCGGAGTCGGGTCGGTGGATCCGGGAGGCGGGACGGGCTCCGGGCCGGGCGGCAGGAGGGCGAGGGCCGGGGCGGCGAGCGGGCTACAGACAGGCGTCCTTCTCGTGAGGTCCTTCCCGAGGAGGCGCGAAGGGCGCGGGTGCTGCTCGGGGGCGCTCTCGCTCGCGGTCTGCCCGAGCGCCCAGAGCCCGCCTTTTATACGGGTCGGCCGCGGCGCCGCGTGTTGCAGTGACGTCGGCTCTGTCTGCGAGTTCCAGAATTCTCAAACATCTCAGGAATGCTGGTTGGCGCGGGCTGCTGCCAAGCGCCTCCCCTGGCTCCGTTGCACCTTTTTTTTTTTTTTTTTTTTGTCCTGGACCCGTCAAGAAAACAATCTTCCGTTTTTTCCACTTTAAATAACTACTTCTATTGGGGAGGGCTCTTTCTGGCGTTTTGGTGCTGATGATGGTGGTGGAATGGGCGAGGGGGGCGAGCTCAGAACTTTGCCTGCCCTGGGAGGGTGGGAGGACCTGGGAGGGAGGAACAAAAGTGGTTTTGTCTGGTGATGCCGAGTTGACCGGGCAGACTTGGAAGCCCTCACCCCGGAAGGCAGCGAACTGTTTGCTTGTTTACAGAGAAGGTGAGAGTCAAGTTATCTATTGAGAGGTGAATGGGGTGGGGGAGTGCGTCTATTTGTGGATTTCATAGAGGCATGCTCGAATCAAATCCCAAAGCTTTGGTGTGGTGTTTATTAGACAAGTTAAGTGCATTGCAAATTAATACCCGCACTGGCATTTATGAATGAGAAGAGGGAAAACAAAATCAACTCCCCCCACTGTCTGGCAGATTCCCAGGCAGAGGTCTTCCCCCTTCCTCCCCCCTCCTTTTTTTGGTATGTCGTACTTGTTTGTTTTTGGAGGTTCCCACTTCAGTTCCAGCCCACTGCCTGGGTTGGAAGTCCGAGAGGAAACCAACGCAGGGAATTCTCTAGGAGACTGACTTCTACTTCCTCACGGATGTGGGAGACTGGGTAAGCCCTTCCAGCCTCCCTCCGTGGGCAGGAGGCAGTGCTACTAAACAGCCAGCCAAAAGCCATGGGGACCACCTTGCAGTGATTTGTCCAGAGATCATCACCTGTGTATACTGCAGTGCCGAACCAGATCCCAGCACTGTTGTGCCCAGTGGATCTAAAGCTAAAAGTTTTGTGGGGTTTTTAACATGTTTCCTTGGGACCACTTAGAAGCCTCCCATTTCAAATGGATTGCAATGCTTTTCTAGTTAAGTACAAAGAAAAAGATTAGAATATAATTAACAGAATAAAAAAATCCAGTTCTGTCTTCAGCACACTCAGTAGAAGCCCTCCAAAAGCAGTTTGCTTTAACATCATCAATATCATTAGTAGGATGGACACATTTTCCCTCGAAATTTAAAAAACTGTCTCCTTGTGCAATTTTAATAAAAACGTACACAAGTAATTATGCTAACCTTTCTTTTATATGTGCTCTAGAACTCTTTGTCCTTTTAAAAGTGTAGGGCTGTTCAGTCTTCACAATTTAGCAGTCTTGCTTAAGAAGTCCTTCAGTGCCAACTTTTCTGTGAATGACTGATAATCACAATGAGAAGCTATTGCAGTGAAAACATCCTCCAGTAAAGAAAACTGTGGCAGGAAAGAGTTAAGTTTCATTCATTCAAAAGTGCCCTTTCATAAGTCTAAGAGGCTAGTTGGGAGTAGGATCTCTAAGGCTTTGTTGGAGGGGGTTTGGGGTCCTGGGCTTACTTTTTAAGACTATGGCTAGTCAGGTGCTATGCAAATAAAAAGAGGAAAATCTGGGCCCTACTTCGTACTCAAGACAGTCCATCCATTATTATTTGGGAAACGTTTTTTTCCTGCATTAAAACTTCATTATTGTTTCCCTCTTAATGAAGTGATTGGGAATGGGGGTGAGTAGGCGCAGCACAGGGTGGGAGGAGGTCGTGGGGAGAGAATGGAGAGGAGTGTTCCTGGCTTCTGTTGTGGAGTCTTTTCTATTTGACTTCATGGTTGTAAGTATTTCCAGATGGTGAATCAGACACCAGACGTAACAATATTTCCATATTTGGGTATAGCAGTAGCCTGCGTTTTTAACATTTTTCTGCCTCTGTTATCCAACCACAAAGCATTCTTGACAGCTTCAAATGTTGTTAAATATAGACTTAACTTCTGTTCCCAGAGCAGGAAATTCTTTGGAATTCCTTGTTTTTCACGCAACCTGTCTATCATGATTTAAAATAAAATTATAGTGGATGATCCAGCTGGCCGCTGTTATACCTTGCTCTTTTATTGAGGAGGACAGGAGATATGCAAAGAGATTCAGCCTGCCGCACAGCTTTGAAACACAGGCCATTCCAGAGATTCCTTTAAAAATCAGATTAAAGTTTTCTAACAAGGGTGTGTGGGTTTGTTTCAGGGCTTCATTTGGGGAATCTCAGAGGATGAGTTTGCCCTAGAGGAGAAACTTAGAGAACCTTACCATCAGCTGCCCATTTAAAGCCAGGAGTGTGTTGTGGGAGGGGGTGGGGAGCTGGAGCAAACAGGGCCGGGAGGTGGGGGAGAGGGAGAGACTGGAGCAACCTATGTGCACAGCCATTCCATATACTATGTCCTGGTGTGCCTGCTAGTAAACGACAGCATCAGAGGAGAGGAACTGCAGCTCCTCACGCCCTTCTTAAGGATGGTCCAGAAACCCCAGATGCCCAGTCGCCTTTTCGCGTCCTCCACTGAGAGCAGCAGATCAGTTCACGTTGACAGATTAGAGGGGAAATGTGCAATTGTTTATGGGTAAGTGTCTTGGGATGCTAATTGTGCATGGCTCTTTCACTCTTTTTTCTCCCTCCTCCCTGCACGGGCCCACGGTGAGGGAATAACGGACCCGCGTTGTTTCCTTGGGCTGCAAGGCACAGAGAAGGAGCTGCTTGTCTTCCGCAGCTCCTAGCTTTGAGCTGAGTGATTGGGGACATCTCTCACCCGCTGCTGCCAGGGAATTTTAGGTCACCAAAAGAAAGGTTCACTGTCTGGCGGCAACTGAGAATAATAATCACCTTAAAACTGTCGACTCCGCTTTCCCAGCCCTAGACCAGTGGTTCTCAAACTTTGGCGTGTCTCAGAATCACCCGGAGGGCTGATTAAGAGACTAATTGCTGGGCCCTAACCCCAATGTTTCTTATTGGCTACGTTTCTAACAAGTCCCGAGGTGATGCTGCTGCTGCTGGTCCGGGGAATCCCACCCTGAGCAACACCTTCTTGGACGACAGGAGTGCCTCAACTAGCGGTGTGTCTGCGCGTGCATGTGCCCTCATAGTCAGGTCCTCGCCTGCACACCCCGTCTCACAACTACACATTTTACAGCCATTTAATGAACAGAACATTTTACGGCGACGGCGAAAGGTCAGCTTTAAGGTGGCGGACCCCCCCCCCCAACCTTTCTCTCTACCCGGCTCCGGCCCCCTACCCCCACCCTGGGGAGGGATGGTAGGGAGAGCCAGAGGTAATCAGGCTGGCGGCGAGGGCTGGGGCGGGGTGGTGCTCCGCTGCCCTGGGGACCGCTGCGGAGACAGCGTGCGGGGTCCGCGCGGCGGGGAGACCCGGGGCTGAAGCCTTCCGCGCGCCGGGCCGCTTGCTGTCCGCCGCCCCCTGCCGGCCGCCGGGCCCGCGCGCCCGAAGTCGCGGCGGTGGGCAGAACTCGAGGTTTCCGGCGGCGCGCGCCGCAGGACGTTTCCAGCCCCGGCCCATATTTGGTGAAAGTCTTTCAAGACTCCGTCATCCAGCTCCGGGGGGCGGCGGCGGTGGCGGCCCCCGGAGCGGGCCCTGAGACCGCGCGGCTGCTGCCGAGTACCGGCGTCTGAACCTCGGGCCGCGGGGCCTCAGGCCCTGCGGGCGGGCGGCATCCAACGCGCGCGAGAGACCGCCGCGGCCCAGCCCCGGCCCCGGCCCCGGCCAGCACCCCTGCGAGGGCCCGGGCCCATCCCGCGCTGCGTGGGAGGCTGGCGCGGAGGGCGCCGCGGCTGGATTATGTCACTTTTCCCGTCCACCCCACTGTTGACTCGTCCTCCCAGCGGGGCAGCGAGTTGCCGAGTTGTGCCAGACTTAGAGGGTACGCCCAGGCGCAGGGGTGTGGGTGTGTGTGTCAGAGGGTGGCGTTGGCTCCGACATGGAGCCCACCCGAGAGCAGGGACGTGGAATTGACTCTGGGGAGAAGTCCCAAAGGGCTGGGTCCTATTATCCCGAGAAGGGAGAGAGGCTAGATTCGATTTCGGCTTTTCTGGGTCTCCCACAGTCCTTTAATCTTTCTCATCAGTAAGTTCCAAGGCTGGGGTGGGGGGTGGAGGTGGGGGCGCGGACCCCTGGATAGGGAGCCCTAGCTCTGCTGTCCACAAGCCTGCAGCCTTCGGTAAGCGGTTCATCCTCTCTAGACCTCGTACTCTTCACCGGTCCATTGGGAAAGGGGACCAGTAGGTAGTACAGCTAGAGCAGCCCCTTTCAGGGCTAAAGTTCTTGCCATTCTCTCCTTGTCTTATAGTTATAAGAGAAGCAAACACTTAACACCACTCTATGTTAGGCTCCGTTTTGAACGCCTGCTGTGTGTTGATTGATTTAATTCTCCAGTGCCCCATTGAGGCGGATCCTCTTCTTAACACCATCTTCTACCTAAATGAAGACGTGGGTGGGGCGCCTGGGTGGCTCAGTCTTTAAGCATCTGCCTTGTGCTCAGGTCGTGATCCCAGCATCCTGGGATCGCTCCCTCTCCCACTTCCCCTGCTTGTGTTTCCTCTTTCCCTCTGTCTCTCTCTTTCAAATAAATAAAATCTTAAAAAAATAAATGAAGACGTGGAGGCACAGGTGGGTGGTTAAGCAAAAGACACACAGTTAGGAGGTAGCGGAATTGGACACAGCTGTCTTGGTTTCAATAAGCCTCCTACTTAAACATTATGCATACTGCCTATTCCCCATCTCTTCAGATATTCAGGCCTGCCCCCTCTCCTAGAATTTTATCTTTTTCTAACTCTATCACAGCTTACCCAGACATTCCAGGATAAATGCATCAGATAGAAAGATAGTTGATAAGTTAACCGAAGCTGGGCTAACCTATGAGAATTGCCAAATGTATTGACTCTTGGGAAGGAGAGGGGAAGGGGTGTTGCATTTTAACAGGAAAAGCCTTAATGCAAGTAAATTTATGCAGTGGGCTTTTAAGCACCTTTGCAGGCTGGTGGGGAGGATATCTAGGACCTTTGGGGTCCTTCTGATACCTCACAAGCCACACTGATCAAGGAGTCTTAATGTCTGGAGTAAGGCTCGAGCTGGTAGAAATTGCATTTGTCACAGAGATAAAGTTTTCAAGGTCATTTACTTGATACCTTATCAGTCTGAGTGTGCCTTACAGATTGAATATGCTATTAACCTGTTTTTTTCCACTAGATATTTAATTATGTGTGTATCTGAGGACAAACTGATTATCCCCTTTGAACCCAGATTTATTCAGAGCTCCTGGTATGTTATGGCACTGTGGCAGACACTGGTGACATCAGAAAGAGGGCCTTAACATTGACCTTCCCCTGGAGGACTCTGCAGTCTGTTGCAGAAGTGGGTACAAAGTGCTGTACGGACACTTCTCTGCCTGGGGAGTGAGGGTGGAAATACTCTTAGTCTGAAAGGATGAGCAAGAATCTGATACAGGGAAAGACATTGGAAACAGAGGGAAACAGACTTGACATGCATGACGAGAGTGCATCTAGCGTGTTTGGATTGTTGGATTCTTTGGGGGAACTGGCAAGAGGCATTAGCTAGGACAATCTGCAAATAGGTTGACCTATCATAACCCTGGGACTCTGGCAGTTGTGAGCCATGTGAGGTTTTGCCTTGGTTTCCTCATCTATAAGATAATGGGGTTGCCCCAGCTCAGGGTACAAGCACTGAAGGGCTCATGGGGTAAACCAAGTAACAAAATGCCACAAAAGGATTTGTGGTGGCTGACACTAGGCTGCAGCATTGGGGAATCATGGTGATAGTGGGGATGAACCATGGGAGTCTGAGGTTGATAGGTGAAAATATAGGTCTGGCGTTTGCCTATTTTCTCATTTTTTAAAGGATATCAGAGATCTGGATTTTTCTGTGAAGTTCTTTAAAATATTGGCAACTGATTAAAACAATGTTAAAAAGCCATCTAAGTCAATCCTAGGAAAATCAAAGAAGGCAGTGTCTGGGGCTGCCAGTTGTGCTTTCTGGCTTGAATGACTCTAGAACCTGTCCTGCTCCATCCAGCATTCTGTTACTCCCAGCCACTCACAAAATATCAGGTCCTAGCACCCTAGGCTCCATTTAATTGTCAGATTGAGGAGGCTTTCATTTACTTAAGAATCAGGGCTGCCACTTAACTCAGTTGTAGGAGTTTATAAACAGAGTTGGAATGAGTCTTTTTCTTATTTTCTACTTCACTCACTCCCAGACACTACTGAGTCTCCTTCTTTCTTCTCCCCCCTGAATTGATGTTGTAACCAGCTGGCATTGCCTTGCCAGCATGATAGGAAACACTTTTTTTTAGGGCATCTGTAACCAGTGGGAACTATATCTGTTTATTTCCTCCACCTGGCGTCTGTCCACAGGAAGCCAGGCATTTCTAACCCCCTCACCTTACAGAACTTATTATTTGGTGATAACACAAAAACATTTCATTGGAACAGACCAGAAGGCACTTCTCCCACTCCATCCAGCAATCCGTCTTCTAAACATGATTAAGCAATATGATACATATTAATTATCAGTCACTATCAGATTCAAACGATTAAGGGTTAACCTTTTCCTCTTGTGTTTTATTTCCAGAGATATCTGTCTCTTAATTGCCTACTTAAAACCACACTTACCACATTCAGAATTTAGAAAAGATTTTATTTGGGCGGAGTCCTTGAGCACACAATTCCTACAGAAAAATTGAAGCAATTTATTCTTGCAGCTTTTTGCTGATCTGAGGACTAAGAACAAAGGAGGATCCCGGCTGTTGGGCTGATTTTGTGAAATAAGACATAAAGGCACATTTAATGTTTAGCAGGATGGTTGGGACATAGTAAGTTCCTAATAAATTCCAATTACTGCTACAGCTAAGCCCCATCATTATCTTAACTTTTATTACAATTAGCATAGAATGAGCTAGCCTTATCCTCTAGAGAATATTCTGCATTCTTTGGACTAGATGAACTCGAGTTATAAAAACATTTGATAAATGGTATATAGAGGAAGTGATTTAAAAAGTCCATGCAGCCCAGTTCTCTGGCTTACACCAAAGTCCCAGTGACCATTTAAGAAAGCACTTGAGCTCTGCCGGTCATGGAATTGCAAATTTGCATACAGGGAGTGGTGATCCCTCTGACATTTTGCCTTGGTTTCCTCTTCTATAAAAGACAATAGGGTTGCCCCAGCTCAGGGGTCATGCACTCAAGTGCCCCAGGAACCAGCCAGGTACAAAACACTGTACCTGAGGAGTATTGGCAGCTGACTCTTGGCCTCAGCAAACGGGAGCTATGGGGATAGTTTTATCAATGGGACCTGGGTTTTACCTGCCAAAGACTAGGGAGTTAGTGTATGTAGAGATGAGTTAGTGATTTTATCTAATGTTTATACCCTTGTTGGTTATAGTGTTCCATTTTGTGTCCATTTAAATGATGAGAAAATTGGGGCACCTGGGTGGCTCAGTGGTTTAAACCTCTGCCTTCGGCTCAGGTCATGATCTCAGGGTCGTGGGATCAAGCCCCACATCAGGCTCTCTGCTCAGCAGGGAGCCTGCTTCC